CCCGCCCGCGCCCCCTGGCGGGGAGGAGGGGGCGGCGCGCCACGCACCCGCCCCCTCCCCGGGCTCCGGGTGAGGTCTCACGCGTGCGCACGGACACACACACACACCTGCCAAGGGACTGACACAACCCCTTTCGTAGCTGCCAGGTCACACACACACCAGGTGACACACACACACTCACTCACACACACCCATGGCTACCAAGTGACTGTCACCTCCCCCCTCCCATGACCCAGACTGCAGAAGACACTGGTGCCTGCCCAGACAGGCGTGCACACACATGCACACACACCCATGGCTGCCAGGTGACACACACTCTCTCTCTCTCACCCCCCCCCACACCCCCATGGCTGCCGGGTGACATGACCCAGCCCCGCGGAAGGCGCTGGTGCCTGCCCAGACGGACGCCCGGGTCCAGGCCTGCCCTGGAACCGCGCTGCTCCGGCTGGTCCCTCTGCGGCTCCCTGGCCGCAAGCTTTCCCGGCTGCTGACCACGGCCACGCGCCCCTGGTTCCTCTGCAGCTACAGCGCAGCCTCCCGCTGAGGCTGTGCATGCGAACAGCTCTGCAGTGTGCACACGGAGGTGGTTTGCATTGGCATGGAGGCTCCTCTCTGCTCTTCATCTGTCTCCTCCTTTCCCAAACCTGAGGAAGATGCCTGAAGGCTCGCCCAGCAGCTCTCCCAAGTACACAGCTGTGCCAATAAAAGGCATCACAAGCGATCCTAGTCCTGCTACATTTCCTGGACGCTCAAAGCTAGGCAGCTGCACCCCGCTTATGTGAGGAAGTAACATCCTTGCTACTTCCCCTGCAAGAGTGTGCAGCGCTGACTCTCCAGCAGGGTGCTGCGGCCGCCCGGGGTGCTTTGAGATCCTTCCAAGGTGGCTGCGGAGCGCCATGCAGGGAGGTGCACAAACATGATTCACAAGATAAACCCGGAGATTGCAAATAGCAATCCACGCTGTTAAAAACCATCCGGACCTGTTGGGGCCTTTCTGAGTTCTTTGCAACAGCAAAATTATTATTATTATTTTTATTTTTTTCCTGGAGTCAAAACACAAGTGAAAACTAAGAGCTGGCATTTTTGGGGGGCTGCCTGGAGTCTAATGAGGCTGGTCTTGCTTCCCACTGCTCTGGGAATCCAGCCTTCTTGCTCTCCCACCAGACCACAGGTGCCTGCCGGCTGGGTACAGCATGTCTCTGAGGATGCCACGCTCCCTGGATTTCCTCTGTGTCACACGCAAGAGGGAAGGACTCACTGGGTGACAGCCACCTTCCTCCTTCCTGGTAGTCCAGCCCCAAGGATTCCCCGTGGTTACAGCTGCTCCATGATCCACTTAAATTGAGGAGGGGACTCTAGGGAAGGGGTCATACAGCCAGCGGTATTCCCAACTGGGTTCGGAGACAGGTTAACCCTGTTGTGCTATGCTGATTCGCAACCCTGTGAGATGCTGTCCATGAGAGGTGGAACAGGCAGGCAGAGCAAAACAGGGGACTGACTTCCACCCCTTCCCTCTTGGGATGCGAGATGGACACATGGAGGGACAGTGGATCACAGGTGTGGACGTGGCCTTGAGGGTCATCTGGTCCAACCCTTACATGACTGCAGGGATGCTATTTTTAAACTACCCTTTGAAGTGCTCATCTAGCCTCATCTTGAAAACCTCCAGGAAGGAGTCCACGATTTCCCCGGGCAGTCTGTACCACTGCCTTCCTGCTCGGACATCAAGGAAGTTTTTTTCTGAGATCTCGTCTGAATCTGCTGTGCTGCAGTTTCAAACCATCCTTTGGTGTCCTGTCTGCAGCAGGAGAACAGCTGTTCTTTTTTATGGCAGCTTTACAGATGTTTGTAGACTGCTACCATGCCCTTTCTCAGCCACCTTTTCTCCGAGCAAAACATATTTTGTTGTCCTGAACAGCTTTCCCTCCATCCTCCAGACCAGGGCGGGCAATTATTTTGCCTGGAGGTAGGAATTTTTGTGAGCTGCTGCGAGCAGGGGCAGGTGGGGGAGTGCTGACCTGGCTCGGTGCAGGGCAGGGGCTGGCAATTGATTGTATCTGGCCCAGACCTGTCCCTACACCCACCGCCGCAGGTGCAGGACGGAGCAGGCAGGGTCTCCACGGACACTGGGACCCCTGCAGCCAGGCTGCACTTGGCTGGGTAGATGGGATGGGAGCACAGGTGGGTGGGGAGCAGCATCCTGGAGTGGGATGGGGGGCTGGGTCCAGGATCACACTGCGGTGACAGCACAGGGCTGAGGCCCAGGCCCATGGGCAGGGACGTGCGGGGAGCAGATGGCAGCTCTGCCCCAGCCCCCAGGCCCAGCCCTGCACTGTCACTGCTACATGATCCTGGCTCTGGCCCAAGCCCCCACCCACCCATCTCACTCCGGGGCGCTGCTCCCCACCCGATTGCGACCCTATCCTATCTGCCCTGCCCAGAGTGTCCTGCTTGCAGGGGTCCCAGGCTGGTCTCCATGGATGGGTCTCCTGCCCACTCCATCCTGCACCCCTGGGGTGGGTACGGAGCAGATGGGCCAGCAGTGGTGGAGTGAAAATGCGGCAGAACAGGGTCCAGCAGTAGTGGAGACACTAGGTTGGCAGCAACCAAAAGGAGCCACCACAGTGGGGGCTGCCAGGAAGTGGAGTCCAGCTGCCCCCACCCTGCCGCGCACCTAGGGGCTGTGGGACTGGGCACACATGCCACCGCCCAGGATGCCCCTGGACTGGGCAGCGCTGAGGCACCCGCTGCAGGCCAGATAAAATCCCTTAGCACATTGAATCCAGCTTGCCCTGTAGGCCATATTCTGTCCACCCTGCTCTGGACCCTCTCCAGGCTCTCCACGTCCTTAAACCGTGGACAATACACAGTGCTCTAGCTGAGGCCTATCACCTCCCACCTCTTACTCCTGTTGATGTAGCCCACTGTTGTATTTGCTGTGTGTGCGACCACGTCGCGGGTGCTGCACCGCTCCGGCTGCCGGCAAGGGGCGGAAGCAGTTTTGAAAACTGACCCGCTTGCATTCACCTGGATGCAATTTACCTATGATCAGGCCCCCCCAGTTTGGAAATCCTGTTGTCTCAGCTTCCTGGTGCATGCATCATGGTGTATTTATACTTCCCCTCCTCGATAGCGCATTAGGCGTGCTCTGATATAGTTGCCTATCAAAGCACACAGAGGCAGGTAAATGTTATGACGAGGACGTGAGTCACGTAATTCTGAAGAAACTGCCATTTGAACAGGGAAGTGTCAATCGCTGGTAAGCCGCAAGGAAGCTATTTTTTCTATGGAGCAGTCGGGGCAAATCAGGCTGCATCACCGCTCAGTTGCATCAGCCTAATGGTGCTCGGAGAATTCCTCAGTTTGTGCAATGCCGCTTTTCGCAGGCTGCCCTTCAGAGCTGGCTTGCGCTGGCTCAGCGATGATGTGTTCAGGGACCTGCCTTCCGGAGAGAGACTTCCTGGCTTTCCAAGCAACGGGGCAGTGGTACAGCCTGCCCGGGAAAGCCGTGGACTCCTTCCTGGAGGCTTTCGAGATGAGGCTAGATGAGCACTTCAAAGGGGTAGTTTAAAAATAGCATCCCTGCGGTCATGCAAGGCTTGCACCAGATGACCCTCAAGGCCGCGTCCACACCTGTGGTCCACTGTCCCTGCCCAAAACATTTGCCCACGCCTGTCACGTCGCGCAGGCGGGAGACCGCCGGCTCGCGCCACGTATTGTCACGGCGCCACGGGGGGCGTGACCTGCGAGGGCCCCGCCGCGCTGCCCCCGCGGCCCGGGCTGCTGCTTGTAGCCGGGGCACCCGCAGCCTGGGCCGGTTCA